TGCGCGGCTGCCGAGTTTCCCTTCCCCTTAGCGAGCACTTCCCAGCGCTGGAAGCTGGGTGGGGGGATGCTCTGAGAGGGGGGCTGCTTCACGCCTGACTCCGCACCAGCCCTGGCAGGCAGCGTTTCCATACCAGGGTGCCGGGGCCAGGCGGTGAAACAGCGGCGGTGGCAACTAAAACCACAGTTCGTCTGTGGACGAAGGGTCAGAGAACAAAGCTGGGAAGGACCGTGGTCCCTCCTTGCCCTGCACAGGCGGAGGACGAGCAGCCTGTTGAGCTTGGCTTCTCCCTCCGTCCCGGGATGGCAAAGTGACTGCCTCCAGGATTTCTGCCAGCAGGAAGAAATTTTTTCCCAGGAAAAAATGATGCCCCCCTGCAATGGCGCAGGGGGTCCCTTCTCCTCTCTCCTCTGGGACAGCAAGGCTGGTGCGGATTGAAGCGTGCTTTGCTTCTCATCTGAGCCTCTCGACACTGGGGAGCGATTCCCAGCATCTCCATGGGGCTTTAGATTATTTCATTGATGCGTCTGGGGTGCTGGGACCGAACATCAGGCCTTCTGCAATGCAACAAGCTTGGACACCGATGTTCAGCATGAGCCTGGTGCCAGAGGAACTGAGCTTTGGGCAACCGTGCGCCTGCCAAAACTTTCTGAACCCCCGGCTAATTTTAGCTGGGCTTGATGGAGAAGTAGAGCCCTTGGAGACATGCAGCTCCTACGCGGTTTGGGGACACTGGCAGCTAGGTGGATGGCGAAGCAGCTCCTCTCCACCCAAGGGATGGCAGCTGAGCTTGGGCTTTCCAAAACCGCATCCCAAGTGCAAACCCGGCGTTGTGACCCTGTCCTCGAGCCAGGACTGTGCTGGAAGAGGAGCAAGGCAGGACCCTCCGGCGGGTGCAGCAGCTCCAGGCTGCTCTCCCCATGGCCTGGATGATGGTTACCCAGAGAGCGGCCCCGCCGCTGAAAGGCCATTTGGCTCCTTGGAGTGCAGGAGATAAGGGCCGTTAACACGGGCGTCTGGCATCTTCAGTAAGTTTTTCCTTTTCTTTTTCTTTCCTGCTGTAAGTACTTGTGCTGAGGTATGGATGCCCCTGCACATCTCACCCGACTGATAACTCTGAAGCGTAATGACAGCACAGTGATGATGGGGCTTGCAGCACTTTCAAGTGAGGCTGTTACAAAAGCTCCCAGAAGAGGAATTAAAGCCTGGTTCCTCGCTCCAGCACTGAGCAGCCGCTCTCCCTCTGGCAGCTCCTCCTCTGCGGCAGGTGAGCCCCTCCAAAGGCTGCAGTCCTCCCACCCAGATTTCCCTGGAGTGGAAAGAGGTGACATGACATGGAAATCACTTCTGTACGCCACAGGAGTGTAAATCAAACACCTGCTTGCCATAGTGGGGGACCAAGTTAGGAGAAGCAACCAGGAGAGGCTTTTGCTCACTGACCCAGAATTCAACATGAAATCCCGTTTTAAGCTGTTTGTTGGCGAAGCAACACAGGCTCCTCGGCTTTAGCGCTTTTCTTTTTTCGTATTTTGTTGAAATGATAGCTCCCAGGTTTCAAGCTAGGCAGCGGTGCCGGCACCGGGCATGCACCGGCGCTGCACCGGGCTCTGTGCCGCACTGTTGCAACACCATGGGTCCGTGGGGAGGAGCCGAAGCTACCGAGGTGCCAAAGAGGAAGAGGGGCATTTTGGCACCCGCTTGAGACCTCCTTGGTCTTTACCAGATGGTGACAAGACGACAGCTCTCGTCTTGGACCTCGACAGGTCCAGCACTCCCCTGGCTCTCTTGGCTGGAGCTGCGCAGAGCCGGGCATCTGGCTTTATTTTGGCATTTGCCAGCGGCGCTGACTTCAAAGCAAATGGTCCGCGTGGGATGGGATGGAGCCAAACCTGGGGTCTGGGCATGGAAGAAGTCCACAGCACCCAGGGAAGATTAAGATCCACGAGCTTTAGTGTAAAGACGCCGACAGAAGACGTTTCCTCCGGGCGCCATCTGGTATCTAGCACGGCTTTAAAGCCTCGTTACATCTCGGGGAGGGAACAACCACCTCTCTGGCACTGCCACAGGGCACACCGCGCCTCGCCAGCTCTCCTCCCCAGCTGTGTTCTCCTCCGCTCGCTGGTTTTTGGAAGCCTTCCCCTGCTCGGGAGAAAGAAGGGAAGTCGGTAATGCCGAAGCCTTCGCACACGTGGTAACCTCTGCCTTTTTTTTTCCGCTGCCGAAAGCGTGGGCTGTGTTGACTTTCCATCCAGCCGGTTCCCATCAAGCGCCGGGGGTGGAGGCTGGAGGATTTAGTAAGGCATGGCTTTGCAAACTGTGCGGGGATGAGCGGGACGGCCCCGTTTTATTTGAGGGGTGTGTGTGGAAAACAAAGACTCCCGCAGATACTTTTGCAAGGTGTTGGAAGTGCGGCTTCCTCCAATAGAGCCCTGGCTTCCCTTCCCTTGGCTCCCGGGGGACCCCCGATGTGAATGGGGCACTTCCCGTTGCAGCAGGTATCGAGAAACACATCTGAGGTGCCTTTTGTACTCGGGAGCGCTGGCAAGGAGATGGGGGACCCGCTCCGCTGAGTGCCAAAACCCAGCCAGCCCGGCCAAGCATCCCGGCTCCGGCAGCATCCGAGGCTGGGGAGCCGCCGGGGCTTGAAAACCAGCAGAAACAGGG